TGGACAAATAAAGTTCAGTCAATGACATATTAAACTGTATGTAAAAATTAACAGAACATAACTACATTTGGGTAATATATCACTGTTTTGAAAATGGGAATTCTTGATGTTTGCTAAATACTAATTGTGATTTTGCACAAAATTATTTTTGTTTTCCCACTATTCACTATATGCCTTGTTTGCTCCACACTTTCTATTAATTCACAAAAGAACCCTTAATGTGGCACAAAAAAACTATTAATTAAGACTAATCCTGATATGTCCTGAGCGAGGATGTATAACAGCTCTAGATAACTTTTTTTTTTTTTTGGACAGTATACTCTGTCACAAGCTGCAAAACAAAAACAGGTCTATACCCTTTTTGTTTTTACTGGGAAATGACCGTAACCAAAACGTTCCCTGATGGAGGGAACGGAGACGGTATGTCGTGATGACATTAGGGGTCTTACTTGGGATCCCGAATCCTTTCTGATTAAGAGAAAATGGCAATGAAATTTGGCTAGTGTATTATGCATGTTGAGCCGATCCTGTGCATACGGGTATAAATAGGCGACAGGTGCATCCACTCATCAGGTTTTATGCTGAGGAGCCGAGAACTTGTCCCTGGCAACCAGCGATGGTTCAAGGTTGTGGCATGGGGACATAACGTCTCCGTTCCCTCCATCAGGGAACTAGGGTTATGTATGTAACCGAGACGTTCTCTATTTGTCGGTCACTACGAGTAAATCAATTTTTAAATCATTTTCTCAGTTTTTAAATTCCTTGTTTTTGTCACGTGCATGTTCCTGTTTGCCCTTATTTGGTTCTTCCTGTGTCCTGTCCTCATTGGTTATCATTTGTGTCCAGCTGTGTTTCATTAATTGTCAATTTGATTCCAGGCGTGTCTCCTTAGTCCCTCGTTATCCTGTGTTTAAAAGCCCCAGTCCTTTCAGTTAGTGTTTGTCGGTTCTACTTGTTGATGTCTTCTGCTATGTGTGTCTTCCTGGTTCCCTTGATTCAATTAAAGTCTCATGTGTTGATGTACTCCTGGTCTCCTCTTTCCTCGCTCCGTGCTCCCTCACAGTAGCACCGTGACAGAAGAACCGACCGTGACTGTAAGCGGCACCCCTTCTACCTGTGTTTGTTTTCCGTTTTTTTAATTGTTTTTTTGTTTTTTTTCCCCGTTCGATTCTCCCTGCCCAAATGGAGGAACGAGCGATGTTCAGCGGTAGCTCAAGCAAACCCCGACCCTGTCAGTTACGCGAGGGCATTCGTGCTGCTCGCCCTCGCCAGCTCCCTCGAGGGGGAAACCCTAATGACTCTGTTCCGGCTCGAGATAACATACTATCGCCCCGCGGATCTCCCACCACCAACCTCGACTGGAAGGAGGCAGTCATCCGGTGACTGGAGAGCCTCCGATCCCGATCTGGAACCCTTCCGCCGGCCGTTCCTGAGTCAAGTTCACCGGCCGCTCCTATGGCAAGCCTGCCGGCCGTTCAGCACTCTAGCCCGCCGACCACGCCTTCCACCCCGAACCGGGAGAGGAACCAAAGGCGGAGAAGGTGGTCGGCTCCAGCCCCAGTGCTCGCTCCAGTGTCGGCTCCAGCCCCAGTGCTCGCTCCAGTGTCGGCTCCACGAAAGCGCCTTGCTGTGCCTGCTCCTCCAGAGCTCCCTCCAGTGCCAGCACCTCGTAAGTGCTTCCCTGATTCCTCGTTTAGCCCAAGAAGGGCTCCTGATCCCCAGTTAAGCCCAGGGAGGGCTCCTGATTCCTCGTTTAGCCCAGGAAGGGCTCTTGATCCCCAGTTAAGCCCGGGGAGGGCTCCTGTTCCCGAGTATAGCCCAGGGAGGGCTCCAGTTCATATACCCGTGATCCACCATGGCCTCCTGAGTCTCCTGGTCTGCCATGGCCTCCTGAGTCTCCTGATCCGCCATGGCCTCCTGAGTCCCCTGACTGTCGCCGAATAGCCCAGCCTGGGAGATGGGAGCGTCAAGAATGGCCTCCTGAGACCCCTGATCCGCCATGGCTCCCTGAGCTCCCTGCTCCACCATGGCTCCCTGAACTGTCTGCTCTGCCATGGCAACCTGAACTGCCTGCTCCGCCATGGCCTCTTGACCCGCCCTGGAGGCTTCCCTTGTCTCCGCCCTGTTCCAGTCCTGCACCAGCCTCCAGGGCACCCCCCCGCTCCCCGATGGTCCCGCGCTGTCCGGGAGGGGGTCGATCTGTCACGTGTATGTTCCTGTTTGCCCTTATTTGGTTCTTCCTGTGTCCTGTCCTCATTGGTTATCATTTGTGTCCAGCTGTGTTTCATTAATTAGTTTATTTGATTCCAGGTGTGTCTCGTTCCTCCCTGTATGAAATGTGCTATATAAATAAACTTGCCTTGCCTTGAGGCGTGGCCCGCGGCAGAATGGTGGCAGGTGGAGGATCACGCCAGGGCAGGATGTGCTGGATAGACTCAGTCTGCCGCTGCACTGGCAAGAACTGCTGGGCGAAGTCCTCGACAGTGTCGCCGAATAGCCCAGCCTGGGAGATGGGAGCATCAAGAAAGCCCACTTTGTCGACGTCACTCATCTCAGCAACGCTGAGACATAGATGGCACTCATGAGCCACGAGTGTGGACATCGCCTTCCCAAGGGACTGCGTCGCGACTCCCGTCGCCTGGATGGCGAAGCTAGTCGCGTTACACAGATCCTGCATTTACCCCAGGCTGGTACTACCCCCATGCATTTGTTTGAGTGCCTTGGCTTGGTGGACCTGCAGGATTGCCATGGCATGCAGGGCAGAGGCAGCTTGGCCCGCAACACTGTAAGCCTTGGCGGTGAGAGCCGCCCTCAGCTTACAGGCTTTGGACGGGAGACGAGGACGATTCCTCCAAGTGGCGGCGTTTTGCAGGCACAGGTGCACCGCAACCGCACTCTCCATCTGGGAAATGTCAACGTACCCCCTAGCTGCCCCGCCATTGATGGTAGTGAGGATGGAGGAGGCAGACGAGCAGCTTCCGGCCGAAAAAGGCGCAACCGCACTCTCCATCTGGGAAATGTCAACGTACCCCCTAGCTGCCCCGCCATTGATGGTAGTGAGGATGGAGGAGGCAGACGAGCAGCTTCCGGCCGAAAAAGGGGCTGTCCACGACTTCATCAGCTCCTCATGCACCTCTGGGCAGAAAGGAACAGGGGCAGGGCATGGTCGCGAGCCACAGCTTGTGCCGAGGAACCAATCACCCTGCCGCGAGGGCTCGGGACTGGGAGATGTGCACACCTCCAGCCCGATGCTCACGGCAGCCCGGGAAAGCATGGCCGTCAACTCTGGGTCTGATTCAGCAGTGGCGACAACACCCGAGGGGTGCAGCCTCGCCGAATCTTCATCCTCAGAGGACGATCGCCCATCCCCCGGTGCTGCTATCGTCATCTGATCCTCTATCGGCACGCCGAATGAAACGCTGGGTATGCCGTAAGACGGCACAGCAGAATCACCGGGGAGCCCCACAGAACAGCTGCTGTGAGAGGAGTGAGAGGTCCGTGGGGACTGACCCGGCGGAGAGGCTCTCACTGTAACCCTCAGATTGCCCAGAGCACTAGCCCGAGCACTAGATGGTTCTCTGCTCGTGGCAGAGAAGTTAGCACGGGTAGTGACAGAGGGAGCCCCTCCCATCCCCGTGAGGAGAGAGAGGTGCAATCGCAGCGCTGCCATGGTCATACTCTCACAGTGAACCATCCATGGACACAGCTTCAGCGTGTTGGATGCCCAGACACTGAAGACAATGATCGTGGCTGTCTACGGAGAATAGGAAATGACCGCAACCAAGAGGACACGGACAGAACGGCATCTTTAAAAAGACACGAGCCATCCGTGATCAGAAACTGCTCTTTTAGATGAAGCACCCAGGGGAATCGCTGAATTAACAGGGACGCCTCTGATTGTTCCGTAACGCCACCCAGAATAGCCTATTTTCCAGCAGCAGACAGAATTCGCCTGGTGAATCTCGAACTGTGTTCATTCACTCGGCTCCAAAGCAAAAATCTGATGAGTGGATGCACCTGTCGCCTATTTATACCCGTATGCACGGGGAGTGGCTCAGCATGCAAAATCCACTAGCCAAATTTCATTGGCATTTTCTCTTAATCAGACAGGATTCAGGCTCCTAAGTAAGACCCCTAATGTCGTCACGACATAACTCGTAGTGACTGACAGATAGGGAACTACAATACTATGTTATATGACCATAAAATAATTAGATTTTTTTATCTGTTCTGCTTTTTAGTTATAGCATAACAAATTAAAACTATATTGTGGAAACAGATTGTGATAGTTATGAATTAAAACTTATTTTGATTCTGAAAACAAAAATCACAAAAATCACAAATTTATATGCAATTTTCCTAATATGGAAATGTCAAACCAAATTTTATCAGTTTATTTTTCAGTTTTCACAACATTATTTACATACTTTGCTGATTTCATAATAAAACGTGCAAGTCATCATCATCATCAATCAGTAACAATTTAAAATAAATTTTTTGCCAAATTGTCCTTCTGACACACGCAAACATATGTACTCGACAAACTGTGCAATTTATATGTAAATATATTTTACAAGCCTTTTTTTTTTGATGTAACCTAAAAAGTCAAATTTTTTGATTGCAGTCATACATTAAAGATTAAAACCAAGGTAGAATGTTTTGTTGTTATTGTGGAGATTTATATTAGTTATTTTTGATTAGTATATATATATGGTGCTTTAGTAATGGTGTTTTTCTCTGTCTGTTATAAACCTTTGCTTGTTAAAAAAAAAAAGTAGTGAGTGATGTTATAAGTTACAGTAAATGAGACTTGATTGATTAATGCAGACATTTATAGTGAAAAAGATACAGACAGGAGAACCACAACAAAGACCGCCTCTCTTCTGCAAGACACTATAGCTGAGTTTTGTATGTGTGTGTATATATTATATATACAACATTGTTACAAAACCATCCATATTGTTTATGCTTTCTATAACTGAATTCAGAAACACTTTCTAATAAAACATTAAGAAATGTTACCAAAACATTAAGAGGGAAAAAAAGGAAATCAGAGGGAAATTATAGTGAGGAGGGCAGCCCCTGGTCGATTGATTTCAGATGGCACACAGTTGCTCGGAGCATTTGCTGGGAGTGTGTTTTGGCTTGTAGACACACTCGTTCTTGGTAGTGTTGCATTTTGTGCAGCGGCACCGGCGTGCCACCGGATAAAAGAAGAGCGGGTCAGTGTGGACGGGACAGCCGGGCATCTTAGCAGAATGATAGACCAGAGAATGATGCATGCATCCTCTCTGAATCAGGAAACGCTTGCCCTCAAATCCTCGCACGTTTGTGTCCTGTCACACACAGAAAATGGACACTGTAGTAATATATATCTATATATATATATATATATATATATATATACTGAATTTATTATAGCCTAATTTATTTATATATGTAACACCTAATCTAATATACAACAATGCTAAATATTATGTATTTATACTTAGCCTATTACTAATTATTACTTATTACTGGGGTTGCAAAAAGGTGGAAAATGTCCAGTAAATTTTGGAAACTTTCCAGGATTTTTTGGGAATATTCCAGGAATTTATGGAAAGTTTACAGACATTTTCAATATTTATTGCTTCATTTTAAAAGCAATGTTTTATACATTTTATAATTCATTTTCTCTCTCTCTCATATGTATTTCTTTCTTTTTCTTTCTTTCTCTCTCTCTATCTCGCTCTCTCTCTCACACACACACACACACACACACACACACTGTATACCCCAAAAGCAAATGCTAGAACAACTATACTCATAATAAAAAAAAAAAAAAAAAAAGATATTGGATGTTTTTTTATGATTAAATATGTTATATTCAATATTAAATTCAATGTGTTCCAAATATTTTAATGATTTCTTAATATTTTAAGACCAGATGCTCCATTGTATGCCTCACACAAAATAAAACAGAAAACACCATTTATCATGAAACCTGCTGATCTCTGGCATTGAACTGGTCAATTGTCGGAATTATTTTAAACATTATTACATCTAAGAAGCACGCTCCTTGAGTTTGGTGAGAAACTGTCAGGCTCTTACCTGTGTGAAGCACATTCCGCTGCACATGGTGGTGTTAACAGCCATGCAGTGACCGCACTCGTGTCTCTCCACATACAGCGTGTAGTTCTTCAGAGAGCAGGCCAGGAGAACATCTCCTCCCAACACAAACAGCAGACTGCAAATGAACATCCTCATCTTCATCCAGCACCTCTCCAAACTCCAAAACCAGCTCAAAATCTTCCTCTGGAGGATCGCTGTGGATCTGGCTGATGTTCTGACCAATGCTGTTGAGAGAAGTCAGATTTTGATTGGGTCAGAGTTTCTCTTGTGCTTTTAGACTCACACTAATCCCAAATTATCTGTGTGCCTCTTATCTTGCGGTGCAGGGAGGGAGGGTCTTCAGGCTGATCCTCCACACTGGAAATCAATGTGACACCGAATGGCCCCACTCCTGCATCTCTTGATGTAACAGCAAGTGGTCAGTGGAATGGGTAATTATGCATCGCAATTTATCATTTCAAACAAATGCCTGCGAATGAAAATCAAGGAAAACTTTTATTATATTAAATTTTATTATATTACAAATGTGACATTTCATTTGAGAATAATTGTATTTTAACAATTTGATTACATATTGCAAATTATTCTAGCAAATTCTATATCAAAACAGGATTATAAATCATCAAAACACGAACATATGAACTTCAATGCAAGTCCTAAAGGTCAGCTATGCATCACTGAAAATATAATATCAAAATATGTACAATTTGCATTTTCTATATAAAGAATGAATAGTGGCTGAACTACTGAACTAAAATAACTTCTGTATTAATATATGAATATATTCCCACGTGTGTTATTTTCTATATTAATTTATCACTGCATTATTATCATTAAATTATTGTCAAGCAGCAAATGTTCAGAAATCTGTATACTGTAGAATATTAAAGTCATAATTGTTGTATATTGAAATAACACTACACAATATGAACATGACATTATTGACAAAAAATATATATATCAAATTCTTTTATTTATTTGTTTACATTATGGGGCATAATGTGGGGTAAAAATGTGCGTGGTAACTGATTTTATTCTATAATATTGTTTTAATTCAAGTCAAAATGTTATTTAATATGACTGAATCAGCCTGACTACACTGACAAACATTATTAATGTTCAAATCAGGAGGTAATAGCTTTTTTGCAGACTTCTGCACATTTTACATTGGGTGTTCTGTCTGTAATAAACTGATCAACTTTCGTCTGGTTTTGATTCATTATCACAGTCACGTCCTTGTTGCAATTCTTGCCCCAGTTCTGTTGGGTAAAAGGGGCTGTGTGTGTTTCACGTGTCTTGTTGTTCACCTGGACAGTGTTTTGCGTGTCTAATCCCCACTAATGCTTCGCTCTCGGCCGCTGGGACATGTGCTGCCAAAGCATGCTTCCAAACCTCACTCATGCTCAAACACAGAGAGAAATACAACATCCAAAATAGCTCAGTAATTCAATAAAAGAGATACATATGAATAGATGCTTATAGTTCATATGTATACAACACAGTAAAAACCTAAAAATGTGCTCCAGGATTTTAATAAAAATATAATTTAATTATTTATCAGACAGAATAAACCTGACCATATTAGCATACCATTGAAATAGTTCTTTAAGGCAATAACTGCACTTTATTCATTTATTTACTTATTACTTTATTATTTATTTACTTTACTGTATTTTTGGATGTACGGTAAAGAAGTAATAAGCTAGTATTATATGTTACAATGTTTGTTAATTAAAGTTGTTATAAAGATATTACATTTTATTACAAGAAGAAAGTGCTTAATGAACTGTCATTAGATCTGTATATGTTTTTATTGCATAATTCATCATGACACCTGAACAAAACCTCAATCAGTCAGCCGATCAGACTGATAAAACCAGAATGTGACTAGAGGGGCGGGGCCAAGAGCCGTGGGAACGGAGCGAGGCTGGTGGAGTAAATGCTAATGCGCGACACCTGCGCCACTCACCGGTCTCGAGTCCCACGGAGGAACTCCGGAAGGATAAAAGGAGGAGTGACGACAGTGAAGGACGAGAGAGGACCAGGCCTGGATTTTATTTTGTGTTTTGGTTCTGTTTGTACGCGACAGTCGTCCGCGAGGGGCTGTCGCGCTATTTTGTGTTTATTTTATTATTAAAGTTTTGTTCAAATGTTTTAAAAAAAAATATATATATATTGTTCCAGTTCCCAGACACACTGCCGCTCGGCCCTCCACCAGCTGGGTAAACTCTTCCACGATACCGGCGACGGCTCCTCCAGGTTCGGGCAGCCGGCAGGAGTCCCCCATTCCCTACTCCTCCCCATCATGGCGAACGGCAGTGACTCCTCCGCTCCCTCACGGATGGCAGCTGTCCCTCCACATCCCAGGCGGCCAGCAGCGAGTTCGTCCGCCCCCCCGGCAACTCACTCCAGCCCACCTCCTCAAGCGTCCATGGCGGCAGACTGCTCCGCAATGCTCGATGGCACCGCGGATTCACCACAGCGGCGAGGGATCTCCAGCAGCATGTCCCTCCTTCCTCCCGGGTTTTGGCACCAATGTAACAAAGTTCGTAGTCACTGGAAGAAGGAGGCGGGAACCGGCGAACATTCAAACAAAACTTTAATAATAAAATAAACACAAAACAGCGCGACAGCCCCTCATGGACGACTGCCGCGCACAAACAGAACTACACTGTCGTCACTCCTCCTTTTATCCACTGTCGTCCACTCCTCCATGGGACTCGAGACCGGTGAGTGGCGCAGGTGTCGCACATTAGCATTTACTCCACCGGCTTGCTCCGGCCCCGCCCCTCTCGTCACACAGAATTAATCATTTTATGCTTGCAATATATATCTAAAAACTAAGGGTCATTAACAGGTGAAAAATGTACTTGTGATTTGAGCAGCTTGTACATTTTGTTCTTTTTAATGACTTTACTACTTAATTAACATGTAATAACATACACATTACAATACAAAATGCTTAATTATTCTCAAATATATTTAAAAAACTCAAGAAACATACAAAAAAGGGTTAATACAGTTTTTTGGCTCATATTTCAGAAATTTATTAAAATAATGTCTTCTATGAACAGTAATTCTGCTTGGGAAAAAAAAAAGATGAAATAAACAGCAAAAGAAAGTCAAATAAAAATAAGTTTAAAAACTTTTAAAAAGCCTTATTTATGGAAGCATAAAGGGTTAAAAAATTCTGGTTTAATTTGAATCAGAGAAAAATATTTTTAAATTCTTAAGGTAAAATAATAGGGTTGTCAGGAACTGTGTCGGAGGGAACGAACGCAGAGACGTGGATCAAAGCAACAGTCTTTAATACATCCAAACACAGGGGATATCCACAACAAGGAATGGCTGGTGACACACGAACATGATGATTTAGACCCTACAAAGACAGACAGCACAGACTGGGACTTAAATGTATGGGGAAACGCGGACAATTAACAAGACACACCTGAACTAAATGACATGATTAACAAGAGACAGAAACTGTGTCACGCAGAGCACATGGGGAGGAAAACACACACAGACAGTCTAGGGGCGTGCGTGACAGTTCGCCCCCCTCCCGGAAGGCGCGTCCTTGCGCCACAGGAACAAAGGGAGGGACGGTTGGGAACTTAGGAGGAGGCTCAGGTGGAGGACGGACACCCGGGTGGAGGATGGCCAACAGAGTCCAGGATGGAGATGACAGAGGGAGGAGCCAGGGAGGAGACAGGAGGGACTTGGAGCAGGCGGAGCCAGGCGGGACCCAGGCCACAGCCATGAAGGCGACCCACGGTGAAGGCGACCCACGGTGGAGCTGACGGATGGAGGAGCCATGGTGGAGGAAGTGCTGACAACTCTAGGGGGCAGACCGATGGTGGCAGAGCAGGTGGAGGAGCCCGAGGCAGAGATCCGATGAGCCAGGGCGACGGGGAAGATCCGGAGGGCCAAGGTGGAGCAGATGGCTCAGGCGACCGAGGCGGAGGCAGGGTTTCGGAAGGCCGTGACAGGAGCGGGAGGGTGGGTGGTTATTTCTGAGCCTCCGGGCTCTCAGGGCTGGTGTGCGCTGCCCACACACACCAAATCGCGACTCCCAGCACTGGGAGTGCATCAGACAGGGGAACGAAAGGGCTGGCAGACAGTTCAGGGCAGATTTGTAAGTCCGAGGAAGGTGGGAGGAGAATGGGCATGTCCGCATATATATCTGCCTCCCAGTCTATTAGGTCCTCTTCAAAGTCCAGCAGTCCCAGATACACAATAAGCTCACCCTCAGCCATGGTACAGTGGGCGGAGCTCCTCTCCGCACTCTCGCTGTCCACGGCTTTTTCCCTCGTGGCAGGCGTTGTAGCCGGCTCTCGCACCTGGTCTGACGTCATAAACAGCTCCGGCTCCGCGGTGATCCTCAGCTCTGTCGCTCCATGCGGCGATGGCTCAAACAAAGCGGCGAGGGGATCCAGGGGGGAAAAACAGTAAACAAAACACTGTACAAAATGCAGAAACAAAACGGAGGAGAAACATGCAACTAAACACTTTTTTTTGTTGATGGTCCGGTGTTCTGTCACAGTGACTACTGTGTAGGAGCGAAGGACGCGGAGACGCAGGAGATTCACGAATCAATTTTTAAAGGGATAGTTCACCCAAAAATTCTGTCATTAATTATTCACCTTCATGTCGTTCCAAACCCGTAAGACCTTCGTTCATCTTCGGAACACAAATTAAGATATTTTTTGATGAGAGCTAGAGTAGCTGTTTTGTTTGATTGGTGCAGACGTGCTAGTCTTCACTTCCCACATGCATTAATGTGCTGTGACCATCTATGACCCTGACGGTTGTCCTTCCTTGCACCATTTTTAGTAGGTACAAACCAATGCACATTGGAAACACCCTACAAGACTTGCCGTTTTGTAGATGCTCTGACTCAGTCATCTAGCCATCCTTATGTGGCCCTTGTCAAAGTCCCTCAGATCATTTTGCTTGCCCATTTTCCCTGTTCCTATCACATAAAATTCAAGAATTGAATGTTGATTTGCTGCCTATATACAGTATCTCACCCTTTGACAGATTCCATTGAAACAATACAATATATACAATTTTAATCACTTTACCTGTCAGTGGTTTTAATGTGGTGGCTGATAAATGTAAAAAAAAACTGTAGTAAACATAA